AGTTCAAGATGCTGCCCAATCATTCCACTGGAACAACAATCAAGCCACCCTTTTAACATGCGTGTTTTACTTTAATAAAGAACGAGAAGTAAAACATGAAAGCATTGTAATGATAACTGACGACCTTAAGCACGATACTTCGACCTTTTATAAATTTCAAAAAATTTTACATACACATTTTGAAAAGAAATGTTTGCCGGTATCCAAACTTTTTTACGTGACAGACGGAGCATCACAGCATTTCAAAAATCGTTTTAACTTTTTAAATCTATTTTATTACAAGCAAGATTTTAATAAAGATGCAGAGTTACATTTTCATGCTACTGCGCATGGTAAAGGACCATGTGTTGGACTCAGAGGCAATTTAAAGCGTTTCGCATCCCGTGCAAGTCTTCAGTTGCCATCAGAAAAGGCTATCACTACTCCACAGCGTTTGTTTAATTGGGCTCAAAAAACTTTAACAGAAACTTCGATTTATTATTGCAGCAAGGAAGAAATTTAACAAGAAAGGATATTTTTAGAAAATCGTTTTGTTAATGATAGTCCTATTCCCGGAACAAAAAAATTTCACGCGTTTATTCTAATACTCGAAGGCATTCTATTTAAAAATACAAGTAATAGTTTAAAACATAAGGTTATAAAAATTATAAAATAAATTAATTGGAAGACCCAAAGAAGATGTTTTATTTACAATGATAATGTCTCATAAATTTATTTAATATTATTTTTTTACTATAAATATTGGTTTATTATTATTTTCAAACAATCAATTTCAAATTTCAATGTTAAGAAAATTTGTGGGTTCGTAAGTACCTACTAAATGTATTGTAATGCAATGCTGCATGCAATGCCTATATTTTTTGTTTCAGTAAAAGATTATTAAAAAGGAGAATAAAATCAAGTTAAACAATATCGATATAGTTGTTGTGCACAATAATTAAATTTTATTTAACAAGTTTTTCACTAAACAGTGTATCACGCGCTAGGACCTAACGCCGCGGCGTGCCACTAGATTTGAGAAGGGTTTACACCAAGTCCTCTAGCATTTAAACGAGTGCTCATCCCATTACAAAATTTAGTATGCGTCATCTATACATTTTGAGAGGAATTTTAAGCAATTAAAAAAAACTGTCCGAAATTAAAAAAATTATAATATTAATTTTTTAAAACAAAATTTTTAATTTTTAACAAATTGGAATTTTTAATTTGAGTGCATAACGAAAAAGAGCATACAATTACCTACCAATGTGATATTTTTTTTTTCTACGAAGATTTTTCAAGAAGCTAGACCCCTTTAAAATACACCATGCACAACGTTTTGATGAAAATGTAAAAGCCCCTAACCTGTTAGGGGCCTAGTCTTCGCAGGTCAAATAGTTTTATGCCAATACTAAGACCCCCCTAGGGGTACAGCATACCCAAATATGAACAAATTTAAACAACTTTGCTTTTAAAGTTGCCCGCTTGGAGTGAAACGCCCCATGTGTCAAATCCGGCCTAATCGAATTAAAACTTTTTAAAAACGTCATTTTTATGCTTTAATAATTTAAGCTGTAACTTTTTTTCTATTAATGATATTTTAAATTTTAATATGCAATTTAAAAGCTAAAAATAGTAGTTTTTATAAAAAAATTATAAATTCACTCAATCAATAATTACACGGTCCTGAAAAAACGTGTATTTTACTAATTTTTCGTTTTTTTAAATGCTTCCCATGTCTCGGCTGTTTAATATGAACAGCTAATTTTTTTCATATATAAATATTACATACCAAACACAAAATAAAACTTACAATTGACCCGTTCTGCATACGGTTTCCACCAAAAAAATTGCTTGAAATTTTAAAATTCTAGAAAATCGCATTATTTAGGCCATTATATATGACTTCCAAATAGAATTATGAAATTTACAGGATAAGCCCCTACCTTAATGTTCAAATGCCTGGTAGTTTGGTTTTGTTATTTTCATCCTTAGCTTTAAAAGGAGAAAAATATTGAAATAATAAAACGTCGGATTATTTAATCCACTTTAATATAGAAATATGACATTATCAGGATATTTAGTCCTTACCTTGAAAATGAAATGCCTATTTGACTTGTTTTGATATTTTCATCCATTTTGCTTTTACATGGGCTTTAAAAAAGGCTAACACATGGAAAATTAAAAAACGCATCATTTTATCCTTTATCATATAAATGTTAAATTTAGTCCTAATCACAAAGTTTAAAATCTATAGCTCATTTAGCTTTTTTTTTTGTAGGTACGGATGCTTTAAAAGCAGCAAAAATATAATAAAATTAAAAAAAAACGCATAAGTTATAAGTAGGTACAGGGTGATCCCCTATAATGTCGCCCCCCTTTAACTTTTTTATTTTAAGTGTCCCAAAAAATTTAAAAGTGTGGTTATGTAGGAACTAAAAATTACTTTTTTTCTACGTATAAAGAAAATTGGAAAATTGATCAGTATACAGGGAAAAACAAAAAGTTAATTTTTTTTCAATGGATCACACTATATATGAATTTATTTTTCGATTCCTTGTAAAATTCTAAGCATATTTCATATATCATACCATATACCTAAATTCAACCGTTTCTGAAATATTTAAATTATTTTTAAGATAATAAGTTGAAATAGTTTGTCTTTCTCTGTCTGAGTACGCCATTTTTACTTATTTAACAACACTTATTGACATAATGTCACTATAGTAATTTATTTTCAATAAAAATTTTTGTATACTGAGGCTTCTTGATTTCTAACAGTTTAAAAAAACATTTAATAATGACATTTCTAATGCGAATATTTCAGAAACGGTTGAATTTAGGTATACCTAAATTCAACCGTTTCTGAAATATTCGCATATACATATGGTTTGTATATAAATTATAATACATATGGTTTGTATATAAATTATGCTCAGAATTTTACAAGGAATCGAAAAATAAATTCAAATATAGGGTGATCCATTGAAAAAAAATAAACTCTTTGTTTTTCCCTGTATACTGATCAATTTTCCAATTTTCTTTATACGTAGAAATAAAGTATTTTTTAGTTCCTACATAACCACACTTTTAAATTTTTTGGGACACTTAAAATAAAAAAGTTAAAGGGGGGCGACATTATAGGGGATCACCCTGTACATAAGTACATAAGCCAAACAGGCATTTAAGGACTAAATATGCTGTAAGTTTCATGTTTCTATCTTGAAGTCAACACATTCTTAAATTAAACAATAATCGTTTTTTAAATTTCAATATGTTTGCTCCTTTTAAAGCCCATGTAAAAGCAAAATAGGCATTTAAACTTCAAGGTAAGGACTAAATATCCTGTTATTTTCATATTTCTATATTGAAGTCAGCATACTTATAAAATGCATGAAATAATGCGACTTTTTAATATTTCAATATTTTTCTCCTTTTAAAGCAACTGTATAAGCTTCAAAGAAGAAAATATCAAAACCAAACTACCAGGCATTTGAACATCAAGGTAGAGATTAATTATCCTGTAAATTTCATAATAAGTCAACATCCTCATATAATGTCCTAAATAATGCGATTTTCTAGAATTTCAAAATTTCAAGCATTTTTGTTGGAAACCGTATGCCAAACGGGTAAATTTTAAGTTTTATTTTGTCTTTGGTATGTAATCTTAATATATAAAAAAAATTAGCTGTTTATATTAAACAGCCGAAACATGGGACGCATTTAAAAAACACGAAAAATTAGTAAAATGCACGTTTTTTCATCACCGGGTAATTATTTGGAAATATTGATTGAGTGAATTTATATTTTTGTTATAAAAACTACTATTTTTTAGCTTAAAATTTAAAATATCCTTAATAGAATAAAAATTACTGCTTTAATTATTAAAAAGTTTGGATTTTGTCCTTTGGGACCCTAATCAATTTTTCTATAAAATTTGAGCAAAATCCAAGATGGTCGTGCATCTTAAATACGCGAGATGAGCCAGTCAAACTAAGTAGATAAGATAGTAAATTATAAAATATGTAGTTTAGTAACGTAAATAAAATTAATGTTAATAGAATGGATAGTTTATTGAAAATAATAGATACTAAACCAGAATGAAACACATTTACTACAAAAAGTTTGCGCGAAATACGCAGACATCTTTTATTTAACGTTAACGGTAACAAACGTTAACAAACAAAAAATACATTTACGCCCATCGATAACCGCATCATATGTAGGTATTTTAAAAATGTCAACGAAATCTCTTTATGGATACTATTTGGCAGCACCAACACAAAATTCGGTTAAATCAAATCGGATCGTAAAATTTATTTTAAATATAAATATTATTTTCATGGTATCTTTTTATTAATGCTGATGATATTAACGTACCTTTGATAAATAATAAATTAAAATAAGGGTTTTGAATAGTTTAATTAAATAATAAAATAACAAAATTAAACACAAATTACAAATGTGTAGAAGAAAATCAGCGTATCTTAGGTCGTTAAAATTGTTTCTGCTTCATGATTTTAAAAACTCTAGATAAAAAAATTGTTCCTCCTGTTTTAAACATAATCTCAGACCCCGATGGTTAAGATAGCTTAGGCCTTCTTAATTAAGAGCGATGATGATTTTTTTAAGTTTTCGACATTCCGGTGGCTCTAAAGGTTTTTCTTAAATGGACAATGTTCTTCTTGAGTTCGTGCCTTCAATGATGATATTATTGGAACAACTTGTAAAGGGCACAAATGACCTTAATATCGAGAATACAATCAGAAGTCTTTAAAAGCTTTCGGCACGGATTTCCCTCGAAAATTTCACCATTTTTGGCCAATTAAGAGCTTGTTCTCTTTTCACGAGCGGTACTAGTCCATCCGAAAATAAGTGGTTTACAAACCCTTGCAAAATGTGCAATTCTGGTACAATACATTTTTGAATAATAAAGATCTATTCTTTTTCCTCAAACATACATTTCCTCAAACGTACGTTTACGGTGATAGAACATTATTTAGCGACTTTTTTGTTTTTGCCTAGGGAACAAAATTTGTCGAAATGCTTGTAACGTCTCCATAAGTTCTTAAATACATCGTTTGAGATTCATAGTTGGAATCTTCAACATTTGTGGGTTTATCTTGAAACCTATATGGGCACGGGTACGTTGCAATTGCGGTCTAAAATCCATTAACGAGTAGGGTCATCGTTAGATCCTAAACAAACTTAAAGGAAATTTTGTTTATTTGTGTAAGATAAAATAGAAATTTAATATTGTCGTAACTTTCTTTTATTTGAAGGACCATGCATTAAATTATTACTTTTTGTACTCCACTCTTACCTCTTTTTCCTTTTCTTCCTCTTTCTTTATATGTAGAACGTTTACGTTGATCCATTGCATTTAGTTCGTCTTTTACTATTTCTTGGTTTCCAGCTAACCCTCTTTTTAACACAGAGGAGTAATTTTCCGGTAAAATTGTCAAACAAATTATATACAAACCTTGCCCTCCATCAGCCATAATTTTATTTTCAGGTTTTCCAATATGGTTTATTTTTTTAATAACAGCCTTAACCAGTTCTTCCGCATCTGCCCACACTACCGCCCGATTTGGTTTTTCGTTTTTTATAGATGTCAAATTCGTATAAAAACTGCTTAACATTTTGGACTTTTCACTTGCAGGATATTTAGGCAGGACTTCATTTTTCCTGCGCATGACCTAATAAAGTTTGTTAAGGTTTCCATTTGGTTTTAAGAAGAACTTGTGTTTGATTAAAAATTGTGTAAATTATTTTCAGAAAAAAATGACATTTTAGGATTAAAAACAATCCTAGCAATTGAACCGCATGTGGATAATTTTATTTCTGCGTTTGGGTACCTGCTGCTGCTTGTAGATGTTCTACAATTGGCTGCTTGCTCATCAATGCAGAATTTCAACGAAGTCACTACAACATGCTCCTTTTGTTCTTTTGGAAGTTTTTCTACAATATTCTTAACAACATTTCGATGAACATACTTTTTAGAACATTTGTGCCTAATTCCTTTTTCGTTTTTTAAGCAAATTTGACATATTGGCTCAGATCTTTGCTTTTGCTTTCTTATCTCATGGCCCATGGTTCCTACTTTTACTGCTGAAGAACTTTTGTGGCCTTCATGTCTAGCCGTTTGACAAAAAAAAACAATTGAATATTCGGTTGGTGTTTCTAGTTTTTGCATGCAAGACTATTTTGTCAAATTGAAGAGTCACGGGAAAAATTCTTAAATCTAATCATAATATGAAGTTGTCAAAACCAAAAAGCAATGGGTTTTCATCTTCGTCAGCTTCATCGTCATCATCACTTTGACAGTCAGTGAGGTCTAAAACCTCCTTAGGCATGATTTTTTGTTTTCTTTTAGATTACTTTTTTTGCTTGTCAATTCAGGATCTGAACTCAATAAAAACAAGTTCAAAATGTCTGCGTTGGATTTTTCTCGGCCGCATTTCCTGGAATAATGTTTAAGGTAAGTCTTTGTTACGCGCTTCTTGGGCCTCTTTAGTTCCAATGGTCAACGGTGCCCTAAATATTATGTATGTAAAACTTGCCTAAAGTGGGACGCATACAATATAAATCATACAAATTTACAAAATATTTACATATTTTTATTTTATCTACATAATTTTTGGATACCATAGTATCCCATGGTTAACCATGTTACAAGTGAAAAAGCAGCCTAATAACTATTAACTTAGTCATTTTTGACTAATTCATTTTTAGAGAGTATATTCGCTTGATTGGTCGATTTTAGTTGATTACTCTATACTGCTATCAGTATAATGTGCATTTTTTATTAATTCTACATTTAATTTTGTTATTTCTGCAGAGTACTTTAGGATTAGAAAAAACGTCTTGCCGTGTTGCCGTCATTAGAGCTTCCAAAGCCGGGCTTAGGAAAGTCGACGATTAATCCAGTTTTTTCTTTAAATTTGGTTTGAATACTTTTCTTTGTTTCTTCAACTATTATTTTATCATTACCTCTAGCTTGCCACTTTTTAATTAATAGTTTATAGTATAGATGAAGAAGACATACAAAAAATCGTTTCCAGCCAAGTAGGACACATATTCCAAATTTTAAGTTTTGTGGTATTATTTTCCTTTTAGTTATTTTATTAATGTCATTGAAATCTTTTGAGATAGCTCCACATATGTTTTCGTAATAGCATTACAAACTTTGCCATCGATCATTGCAAAAATCATGTTGGGAGTGACTGAACAGATCTACCGTGTAAGTTGAATTCACTGTTTTTTAACTGGTGCATTTCGGCATCTACCCGATTTTTCTCCGCTACAAAAATTTCGTTTGATTCCTTAACAAAAGTAATTTTTAAAGGTTTGCAGTACCTTCTGGAAGGCGGGCGAGGGTTCTGCCAAATCGATTTTTTGCTATCTGGATCACAAACTAAACGAAGCAGCATGTCCTTACAGTCCTACAGATGAATCACTGGGTTCAGATCCATAAAACGCCTGCTTCTAGGAACTGTGACCTGTGCTGCCATTGAAGCGCCACTTTGTTATTAAATGTAGTTTGCTCAATTCCTCGCTGCTTAGTGATAATAGCAGATCTGGCCAAGTACTTTTTTACTCAAAAGTATTTTTCATTGGCAATACTTATTAGGTACTAGTACTTACAAACCAAATTCAATGTACTCGTAAAAAAATACTCGTGGAATTCACAAGTAATATATAAGAGTATTTTCGTTTATTATATCGATGACAAATCAACAAACCAACAAGTTTGAGTTAAAAGTCGAACAAATGTTCTGCTCAATCGAACCTCTGGTGGTAATTGTTGGGAAAACTCCACGGGAAAATAAATTAAGTCATTTAAAGGAACTGTTGGACGTCCTTTCTTCGTTGACTGCTCATAAAGGGTTAAAAAAAAATTAACGTCTCGAGCCATATTTCTGAATAAACCTGTTTAGTTCTTCCAGCATCATCTAGACTTAAAGTAGTTCCTATGTTTTGCTATTTAAATTATTTAAAGCAGATTCAGTCTGTAACTACTAGAAAATAATTCTTTAAGTTAAGTTTAAATCTCGATCTCGAAGTTAAGTTAAGTTTAAGTTTAAATCTCGATCCTTTTTGATCATTTTTGATAAGGATTTTGTCTCCTGTTTTCGTGATCAAAAAGGATCGAGTTTCGATCCTGTTTTCTGGATCAAATAGGATCGAGTTTCGATCCTTTTTGATCACGAAAACAGGATCGAAACTCGATCCTTTTTGATCACGAAAACAGGATCGAAACTCGATCCTTTTTCGATCATTTTTCATAAGGTTTCCATAATTAATTCTAAAATAAAAGATACAATTTACAAAACTTAAAAACTTTATTGGGCACTTTGTATTTCAAAAAAATCGGATGACGACGACGATGATGATGAAATTCGTAATTATAATAATAACATTCATATATTTTATAAAATAATATTCACAACAATAATTCCGTGGTTTCGGGGAATAAGGGGATAAGTCATTTTTGGGTCTCTCTTTTCAGACTACTGTCATAAGGTAAGAGTATGAAAAGTTGTATATAATACTTCTTTTACTTATTATGGAAACCTTATGAAAAATGATCGAAAAAGGATCGAGTTTCGATCCTGTTTTCGTGATCAAAAAGGATCGAGTTTCGATCCTGTTTTCATGATTAAATAGTATCGAGGTTCGATATCCTTTTTGATCACGAAAACAGGATTGAAACTCGATCCTTTTTCGATCATTTTTCATAAGGTTTCCATTATTAATTCTAAAATAAAAGATACAATTTACAAAACATGAAAAATTTATTGGACACTTTCGTTTTCAAAAATATCGGATGACGATGGTGATGAAATTTTTATCCTTACTATTTAAAATATTGTCTTTTTAACTTTTGCAAAATAATCTTGCAAATTTTCATTCATACCTTTTTTCCTTCGGCGATTTTTCTAATTTTTTTTTTTGGATTTGTATTTTTGTTTTGCTTTAGCTCATATATTGTGGCGTACTTTTTTTCTTTATATTTTGATGTGGCCCCATTGCACGCCAATGTTGTATCAAATTTTAACAAGTTTTATTTTCAAAAATAGGGCTTTCATATGAAAGGTATGTATACAAAATTATGATTAATTTTTATCATTTTCATAGAAGATATGACGAAAAAACGTTTTTTCTTTGTCAACTTATGTGTGATATTTTTCTGAATCAGGATAATGGGAGGAACATTTTCCCCTGGTAGGTTAAAACTGAATCACCCTGTATAACTATATACAATTTGCAATAATCAAGACTAAAAATTAATTATTTACTTGCAAAAAAAGAAACAACGCATTGCGCAGTTGCTCCCTCACGTTCAATAAAGTACACATATGTCCAAAAGTTTGGAATATTGCAATATTTCTTTTTTTATTGATATTTTTATATATTTTTTTATATAGGTAAATACCATTTTATAACGACTCCGACCAATAATAAATAAACCTCAAAGACAGAGAAAATAGAGTAAATATTAACAACAGTTTTTTTTAAACTACCATAGGCGTAGATATATTATTTGTAAGTATTCCAAACTTTTGGACATGTGTGTATTTCTTGTTTCGAGAGAAAGTTTTTGCATCGAAATTTGAAATTTCCGACAGCAACACCCTTTTTTTGTGCACCGTGTCGTAAAATTTAACAAAAGCACATGGTCCATCAGCTGTTAAATTAATTGACATCTTGCTATCTTGCTGTCTTTAAATTTACCTATAACAAATAAATTCATAGTAAAATTTGTATACATAACCTTACTTTTCAGGGGCCGAAAAAACAAAATTCATAAAAAATTACCGCAACTCGGGAATCATAAGTTTTTTTTGTTTGATGGCAATCAGTACTTTTCATCGAATTTTTAATTATTATAGTAGAAAAACCCACAGTAAAACCGTAAAATCGATAACAAAAAACACTAACCAACATGACAAGCACGTGCACAGATTATAGACACATTACAGACAGGGTTTCCAGATGATATTTTTTTATTTCCCCAGATTTTTTACAAAAAATCCCTAGATTTCCCTAGACAAGTATGTCAAGATTTTATTTTATTGGAACTTTTTTTAATTTAAATATATCGATGGCCTAGGCGCAATACCTCGTATCATTAATTAATCATCATAAGGTAGCGCATGAAAAGTAGTACATAATACTACTTTTCTTATAATAAGGAAATGTAATTATAATTACGAATTTCATAATCATCATCGTTGTCATTCGATCTTTTTGAAAGTGCCCAATAAAGTTTTCATGTTTTGAAAATTGTATCTTTTATTTTAGAATTAATTATGGAAACATTATGGAAAATGATCGAAAAAGGATCGAGTTTCGATCCTGTTTTTGTGATCAAAAAGGATCGAAACTCGATCCTATTTGATCATGAAAACAGGATCGAAACCATCCTTTTTGACCACGAAAACCTTATCAAAAATGTTCGAAAAAGGATCGAAACTCGATCGTGTTTTTATGATCAAATAGGATCGACTTCGAAATCTGATCGAGAATGATAAAAAAGGATCGAGAATTTTAAGAACCTAGTAGTCGATCATATTTGATCATGAAAACACGATCGAGTTTCGATAATATGTTATCAAAACTCAATCGTGTTTTCATGATCAAATAGGATCGACTGCGAAATCTGATCGAAAATGATAAAAAAGGATCGAGAATTTCTAGAACCTCATTAAATATGATAAAAAAGGATCGAGAATTTTCTGGACCATGATCAAATATGATAAAAAAAGATCGAGTTTCGATCAGTTTTTTCAGCAGGGCGTGAACTCTGATACATTCGCGGGCACTTCGAATTGAGTACTGCTGTACCCGCCAGAATAACCCAGAATTGTTTCTTATCATATCACAATAAAACGTGATTATCTGTAGAAGTTCCTCTATCGGAGTGGAATACACCAAGTTTTTTTAGGTATCCCCACAGGAAAAAATCCATCAGCCTAAGGTCAGGAAATCGAGGAGGCCAGTCAATAGGTCCTCCTCTACCTATCCAACGGTTTGGATAAACGTTATTCAAGTGCTCCCGCACAGCAACGCTGAAATGAGGTGGTGCCCCATCGTGCAAGAAGTACATGTTTAGGCGGGTTTCAAGTGGTAAGGGCACTATTAAATCCCGAAAAGCGTTTTGGAGAAACTCCAAAAAAGTTGTCCATTCAATCGTGTCAGTAATACGAATGGTACAATCAAAATATTGCCAATGATTCCTGCCCACGTATTAATTGGTTGGAACTGAAGTTGAAAATGCGAAACAATAGTGGCATGAGGATTTTCATCAGCCCATACATGTGTGTACCTTTTTTGGTAAATCCTGATTCATCCGTGAAAAGAAAACTTTTTTTACAAACGTAGGTACCTAAAATTATGAAGGAAGTCAATACTTAATATTACTTTAATAAATGAAATTGTTCACCATTCTCTTCTTATTATTCGAAATCAGAAGACATTTTAACGAATTGACCAACGTCTTAGAGAGAATGGTGGACAACTTCAGTTATTAACGTAATATTATTGACTTTCTTCATAATTTTAGGTAAGTTTGAAAAATATTTTAAATGCTGTAGATGACACTCCTTCAACGAGCACTCGAAAATTATCAGCACAGTTTAATACGTCGAAAACAATAGTGCATCATGTTCTTTAAGAACAGCTGTTATATCCTTATCATATATGCAAAAAGTGCATAAACTTATTTCTGAAGATTTTTCTTGTAGAATGCAGTTTGCAAACTGGCTATTGGATCAGCAACAAAATTATGTAAACTTCATTAGCACTATTCTTTCCAGCCCTTACCACTTGAAACCCGCCTAAACATGTACTTCTTGCACGATGGGGCACCACCTCATTTCAGCGTTGCTGTGCGGGAGCACTTGAATAACGTTTATCCAAACCGTTGGATAGGTAGAGGAGGACCTATTGACTGGCCTCCTCGATTTCCCGACCTTAGGCTGATGGATTTTTTCCTGTGGGGATACCTAAAAAAACTTGGTGTATTCCACTCCGATAGAGGAACTTCTACAGATAATCACGTTTTATTGTGATATGATAAGAAACAATTCTGGGTTATTCTGGCGGGTACAGCAGTCCTCAATTCGTCGTGCCCGCGAATGTATCAGAGTTCACGGAACCCATGTTGAACCCTCTTATAAAGTTTTTAATTAATTGTTTCAAATTATCGTCCTTCAATTTAAGGTTTGCAACAATACGTGATATTATTTTTTTATGGTCCTTCTTATTAAAAAATAAAACATGAATTTGTTTATTATTCTTTTTCTCGAAAACGGTTCATTTTATTGACAATAAACAAGAGTACCTTTATTTTAGTTTAAGGTTCAAGCTATGCAGATTTAGTTTTTTTAAGTCTTTGTCATACGGGGTGTTCAAAATTTAAGCATTA